CAAGAAACAGTTGGGTGAGAGGAGTCACAGTCAGCTATTCTAGGGATGCTATTAATGAATATCTGGGAAGCCCTTACAACTTGGGAGATGATGGACTTGATGAGTATGGCCGACTGAAGAAGGCTCGTGCTTTTAAGGCTAATAAAATGGCAAAGCTTTTATGCCTGCCAGGTTGTACTTATACAGTGGGGGTGATAGGAAATCCAGTTTCAATTCTTAGAAAGAATTTGAAAACTATTGCACGCATCTGGCAGAATTTCTTTTATTGTAATGTGTACTCTATTACACACATTTCTGATTTGAATATGCCCAGGGCAACTCTCCTCTACTCTATTTTGACAAAGGATGGTGTGTAAATAACTTCAATCATTTCTGATGAGATACATAAGACTGTCCTCTCTACTCCTTCTATTACAGGGGTTTCTAAACCCCTAGGATTTCCCGGATTGATTACAGGGTTGTGTATGGCAAGTGGCTCTCGCCTTCTGAATAATTTGAACAAATCTCTCCGACCTCCAATCAATTCTGCATACATCAAGATCCATTGCAAGAGTGAACAGCAGGGTGATACTTCACAGACTAGATCTCAAAGGCATTGGCAGGCATCCTCCTCTTCCCAAGTAGCTAGTCCAGAATTCATGGCTGCTCATTTTCACCACATTGAACAACAAAATCTGGCAAATCACTTGGCACTGATGTCCCTCAACACCAACATGTACCATGCTCATCAGTAGCAGTTCCATGGAGGCCCTCCATTCTAATGGCCATCCCTAGAGACTTTTCAACAACAACTCCACTGGCCTGGGGACAGTCCAAATTTTGAGGGAGGCGTGGAGGAGGAGCAGCCAGAACAAGAAGAGAAGCAAGAAGGTGGAGATGAAAGGGAAGATGAAGAAGGAGGCGAGGATGAGCAGAGAGAGGATGCTGAAGAAGGAGATGATGATGAGGAGGAGGACAGCTAAGGGTTTCTTAGTAGTTTTGTTTCATTTATTTTACAGTACTTTTAGTTGCAGTTTATTTTGGGTTACAGTAATTACTTTCAGTCTTTAATTTCATGTTTCAATTTGATGACTTTTCACCCGGTAAGTACTTTTGGGCCGTTTCAGTTAGCATGGTTGCCTTATTTTGCGAGCATGTAGTTTGTTAGTAAGTCTTTTTGGGCATAGTAATGTTTAACGTATATAAAAAAACAAAACAAAACAGAATTCTTTTTGGGAACTCAATTGACAATCTTTCTGGACGGAGCATTTTCATGATTCAAGTTTTCAATGAACGGTGTTTTCTAATCTGGAAGTTTTTATTGTTGCACAAGTGGTTGTACATTTTTGACTTTAAGTATGTGCTTCAAGCATGTTCAAGTGAAATTGAAATGAGTCTGAAGTTGTTGATGTCTAGGGCACTTAACCAAACCGTGTGAGTGAGTGGGCCAAACAGTTAAAATTCAATCATTGAGAGTCATCACTGATCATGCGGTCAGTTTTGTTTGAGTCTCCCATGAGTTACAGTTAAGCTATGCATGGAATTTATTGAGGCAATTGTTATTATACTTAGCTAGTAGCCAAAAAGCCAACCCATGAACTACATCAACCCTTGATCAGCCATTTTGAGCCTAAACAGAACCCTTAAGCTTATAAAGAAAAACCATGATTGTCCTTGAGCCTTGATGGTAAGAGACATTCTCATGAAACAAATGGGTTTGAGCCAAGTTGGGGGTAACTATATGTAGTTTTCATGTGGTTAGAGTTGTACAGGCAAAGTGTTGTTCTCTTTGTATATATTACTAAAAAAAAAAGATAAATTTATAATCAAGGTTCCTTGTTACCATTCCATCAATTATTGTAATATTCTAAAAGAGAAGGAACCAGTAAATACAATCAAAAGAGGTATGAGACATAAGAGTCAAGAGAATTCAAGCAAGTGCAAGAATTTGGTATTAACCCATATGAATGAGAATGTCTCTTGTCAAACAGGACTTTAATTTCCCAAAGAAAAACCAAGTCTCTGATAGCCAAGCCACATTACAACCCTCTTAAAGTCCTTAGTGATTCATGTTTAGTTGTAACAACAAACTTATGGGAGATAGGTAACAAAGCAAACTTAGTGTGTTTTGGTGCATGAAAAGAGAGAAACACTCACCCTTCACAGCATATTAAAGAGAGATACACAATGGTGACGAAATTTTAGTGCTCTCGATTGAAAGAAATCGAAGATGAGTGACTATTTCCCTTGAGTATGCTTGATGTTCATAATTTTTGTTATCATGTGGGCACCATTTGTAGTAACATGTACTCATTGGATTTTGAAACAAGTTTCATTGGACTCCTTGAAACCATGTAAGTGCATTAACATATTTTTTTGGGTGAAACTTATAGTGATTCACTGGGTATATAAGTTAGTTATATTATTATCTCAATTAAGACCATTTGTTTGAGGACAAACAAATTTCCAAGTTGGGGGTAGCTTGATAAGTGTCTAACTAGTCTGATGAAATCTAAATTTGAGACACTTATCTAGCACAATTTTTGTACATATTGATATAATTTTGGTCAATATATACTTAGAATCAAAGAGGGACTCTTAATTTACATCATAGGGAGTGATGAGTCTTTTGATCAAATTTTGTGTTTATTTTGTAGGTTTTGAAGTCTGGAGGCAAACGGCTCAGCCCTTCAAAGGGGCTAAGCGCTTTCAAGCTAGAGAGCCCTTCAAAAGTGAAAGGAGGCGCTCAGCCACTCCAAGGAACTGAGCAGTTTTGGCCCTGGTAGAAGGAGTGTTCTCTGCCTCCTAGGTGCTCAGCGGATCTGAAGCGCCCAACCCCTTGTGCTTGCTTAGTAGTGAAGAATCTCTCAGGCGCTCAGTGGATTTGAGGGGCTCAGCCCTTCAGATTACTTCATGATGAAGAATTCTTCAAACTGCTCAGCCGTTTCAAGGCGCTGAGCGGATTCTTCTCTTTCCTGACTACTCTATTTTAATTCCAACACTTATAAAAGGGCAGAGGAGAGAGAAAAAGGGGCATCACTAGCTGCACGAAGAAAAGAACAGAGAGGAACAAGGAAATAGAGCACTTTGAAGCTCGTGGAGACGCGATTCTTCAGAGGATCTCTTTCTTCTACCTTTCTTCTTGTTGTTTTGTGATTTCTTGTACCATGGTACCATGGAGAGCTAAAGCTCTAGGGTTGAGATTGATGTAATCATCGAACTCCTTTGTATTCCTCTTTGATTCATATATATATCTCATCTATTACTCAATGTTAGTGATTTGTTTATGTTCTTAATGCTTTGATGAACTGATCATTTATCTTTGATTTCAGATTTAGAATTTGGTTAGAAAACGTTTTCTGAATCTAGATTTGGAACGAATCACCTATTAGTTTCAAAGGTCAGGAATGATTTTGGAATTAATAGTCGTAAGAAGTTCTGACTCTTAATGCGGGATATTTAACTGAATGAAGTTAGGAATCATTCATTGAGTTAAATATCTTAGAATTTATTATGCCAAGGAATTGGGTCTGAATGAATATAGAGAACTCAATGGTCATGAGTAATGGAATCATTTGAATAATAGGAATGCATAGGAGGGAGATTGATGAAATCTAATCCCAAATGTTTCTCATATTTGTTTTTCTTAAATTTAATCTGACTTTTGGTTACTTAAGTTTGATCTATCATTCACATCAAATTTTGAACATGTGTAATTACTCAAGTTTTAAATTTACAAGTACCAACTAGTATAATAGAAATCAAAGCTTACTTCACAAATCCCTGAAGATCAACAACCTTTTAACTATTTTACAGAGACTTGGATGCGCTTGCTCAGAAAACCAACACAAGAGTAGTCACGTATGACCCACAAAGGCCATGTTCTTTAAGGAGGGTCCTCATTAAAGATAACAATTGCGATTATCGTACACAGGATTTAAATTGCACTAAATAAATGTTCCAAGTTGATGCCACCACAATTACCATTGCGTTGTGGCCACAAGCATTAATTCCAAAATCTTTGACATTGCCGTGAAAATTGCAATCACACCGACGCTATTTTAAAACCTTGGTGGTACGTAATTAGTGTCCGAATATGCATAGCGTGATAACATCCTCATTACTCGTTACTTGATCAATGATGTTAGAATATCGTCATTAAATACGTTAGAATGTCACAACAATACTCGTTACTTGGTTTATCCTTATTGCTCACGTTCTGATTGCGGGTCAAGATTCTCGCCATTTCTTACGTTACTATAGTTTTAGAGATGCAAATTAAAATAAAAACGAGTCACATGATGAAGAATATCATTAATTTTTATCAAAGATATAGTATCATTTAATAGTGCAGGCTGTTCTTGGTCTTCTTTGTAATCTCATTAACTTCTAAAACATCATTACCTCTTATTAATGTTTTGTTTGGGAGAGGGGAAGAATCAAAAGAAATATGAAAAGATAGATGAAAATTGATTTAATAAAAAATAAAGAATTTATAATTATTTGATAAAGTAGAATTAAGTAAGAAATAGATAAAAATTATTAATTTAAAATTAATTTTTATTATATCCAATCATTATTTAATAAAATGAGATAAAAAAAATAATTAATGTACAAAATTTTATCTTTTTTTTTTTTTAACTTCTAGCAAATCTCCTCTCTTTTAGAGGGATATGTTTTTTCTTAAATCCTCACAAATTACTCTTCTCAAATAATATAATTTTTTTTCAATTCTTTACAAATCATCCATCTTCTCTTCTAATCTACTTTAAATCATGCCTCCAAACACACTCTTAGAAATAATTTACAGAATGTACATGCTCTAATTTTTACCATCTAGCTTATACAAGTTAATCCAGAAGGAAATCATTGATTAGCTTGCTTAAAAGAATAGTCATTTTCGTTTGTCACACGTCTCTGTACTCAAGATAATCTATAAGGAAACATCAATAAATATATAGAAACAAATTTTAAAAGATTATAATAAATTAATAATAAATGAAAAGGTATGGTTTGATCATATCCCACACATATATAGAATAGAACAGATAGATGACATATATTTGAGTATTGAAAGAGAAAAAGCGAATTGAGAGAAAGATGTGGCCATTCAGTAGAAAAGGGGCTTCTGGCTTTTCATCATGCTCCACTGCTGAGGAAGTTACTTATGGAATCGATGGTAGTGGCCTCACTGCTATTGTTACAGGTTACTTTCTTATTCATTGTTTCTGAATTGGAGTGGTTGGTTTAGTTTCTGCTTTTTTTTTCATTGTCACAAATTATATTCTCTTTTCTATAATTTCTTTGAACTGTATGAAAGTACTTTGTAATGATTAATGGATTATTGATATGAGGGTGTCAGAGTGAACGTGCAAAAAACCAGAGACCTATTATTATAATCTAAGATGAACAACTTTGAAATTTTTTTGAAATTCTATATGTATCAAGGTTGTTAGTTCTGGTCTTGGATACAAAGACCATCTTAATCATAGTTGATTACTTAAATTTCAGAAGTTGTAAACTTATGTTACAAACTTACAGCACTAGCACACTTCTAAACAAACAAAAAACTAGATAGGAAATTTACAAATTTTATGCACACCTTCACCTAATTGTGTATTTTGGTTGTTGTTGAACCATGTAATTAATAAGCAGGGGCATCTGGTGGTATTGGTGCTGAGACAACTCGTGTTCTTGCTATGCGTGGTGTCCATGTGATTATGGGGGTGAGAAACATGAATGCTGCAAAAGATGTTAAAGAAGCAATACTTAAGGAGATTCCCACGGCTAAAGTTGATATCATGGAATTAGACCTTAGTTCAATGGCATCAGTTCGGAAATTTGCATCAGAGTTCATTTCATCTGGTCTTTCACTAAACATTCTGATGTAAGAATACATGGGCTACATTGTGAAAAATGTTTCATATATATATATATATATATATATATGTAAGAATACATAGGCTACAGCTACATTGTGAAAAATGTTTCATATATATATATATATATATATTTTTTTTTTATGTGTCTGATACATTGACAGTTACACAATCTTTATATATTTATGATCATTCAAGGAAACAATATAGTAATGTGTTCTGGTTTATTTGTTGCAATTCTAAGAAACAATGCAGGAATTTTTGCAACCCCTTTCACGCTGACTGAGGACAACATTGAACTACAATTTGCCACAAATTACATGGGTATGTTGAGTCTATCTAATCTTCCATAACAAGTATTATTTTGAGCTTTCCAGAATATTAGGGGCTGTTTGGTTTGAGAATAATTTTCCTGTTTTTACTTTAACAGTTTTATCAAACCAAATGGTTCCCTTAGGTTTAGTGAAAAGAAAGAAACACTATTGAAAATGAGTTTTTGTATGGTGTAATTTTTTCTGATTCACATAATTAAGAAAGGGATGAACAGTGCTAGTTGTGTAGCAGCATGCACGTGCAAAACCTCTCCCTCTCTCCGGCTCATAGAAAGGGATTATAAATCATTGATATATGAAATCTGTGTCTTGTACTTTCATGCTTATGATTTGTCTCTGCATATATACATTGGCGATAGTTTATATAGAACATAATAAAATAATTATTCTAATGTTTATTTAAAAGCAAAGGTTGAAAACAAATGATTTAACCCTTCTGTTTTTATTTTTAACTTAATTCCACAGGTCATTTTCTGTTAACAAATCTGTTGTTGGATACTATGAAGAAAACAACTCATGAAAGTAAGAAACAAGGAAGAATTATTAATATTTCCTCCATGCTTCATCAATGGACATATGGTGGAGGAATCCTTTTTGATAAAATTAATGATCCATCAAGGTAAGAAGTGACCCAACTTGACTTTTTGTATTATTTATTTATTTATGGAAAAGAAACCTTATTCCTCTAGGAATTTATCCATAGAAGAAAAATTACACTAGTACTAGGGACTTCAATTTTATAACCATTTGCAATACAGTTCTAATATTTGTTTAACTATGGATAAGATAATATTATTGTCAATCATTAGTGTGTGAAATTTACTTTTTTGTCCAGAGGCATTAGGTGTCACATTACAATGGGATAGATTTGCTGTTGCCCATCACTCATGGAATTTGTCAGTTCAGTGTCTGTCTAAACAAAACCTTATGATAAAATATGTGCCTGGCTAAAGTATAGCTTTGCACTTTTGCAATTCCTTGTTACATTTAGAATTAAGCAAACAAACACAATTCATGTAAAGGATAAATGTTTTGTATAATTTGCTGTTTGCTTCCTTCATTATGCAGTTATCATAATTGGCTTGCATATGGACAATCAAAGCTTGCTAACATTTTACATGCCAATGAACTTGCAAAACGTTTCAAGGTATGGTGACAGTTATTTCATCACAACATCAGTGATGCGAACTAATGTGGTATAACTCAGTTGATTAAATATGATGTGTTAGTGTTGAAAACTTCTTAATATCAAGTTCGATTCTTAATAAGTTATTTTTTTATTCATCAGAATTAATCTTAATAATCATTGTAAGTTAGAATTATTATATTTCATTAATTTATCTGAACCTTTTTGGCCGATCAGTTATCTGTTGTATCACTTGTTTGTTATTGCATCTTGATCAGGAAGAAGAGGTAGATATTACTGCTAATTCTCTTCATCCGGGAGCTATTCTCACCAATATTTTTCGTCACAGTGCGCTGGCTGGTAATTTCTCTAACACATTGAACTATTCGTGTGAATTTATGGTTTGTCTAAGAATTTTGTTAATCTTTGATCCTCCATCATGTGGATTTACAATGAAATAAGCCCAATTCCTCAGTATAGTTTTAGTGGATTTACAATGAAATAATGTGTAAAAAGAAAACAATGATTATGTTAAATAGATCCACAATTATCGATGTTGAATTCAAACTTACTGAACAGGATTAATCCTTTCAAACATACATTTGCAAAAACAATTTCACACTTTCACTTGGGGGTAGCTAGCCTTGTAATTTATAGTTCTTAATTGCTATATCAACTCATCACCTTTAAACATGTGTTTCACTAGTACTTTGTCTTATATTTTATGCCTGTTTAGCCTGTCACTGTAGAAAGTTTTTTTTTTTATTTAAAAAAAGACATTAATTACCTTTTGTAATAACACCTTCATTTATTGCTGTCGTACCTACATAGTTGAATATATACACAGATATGTACTGATTCATTTAATAAGCATATATTTTGTTTTTAAAAATACTCTCTCAATTCTTTATTATAAGAATTTTTTTTAAAATAAATAAATTTTAACTACTTTTATTTTATTTAATGATACTCTTCCTAAAATGTCTTTATTAATATATGACCTTTCAGTTACACTATTTCTTTGAATATTTATAATAAGGACAATTCAAGAAGAGTATTATGAGATTAGTAAAATTTAATACAAATAATTAATTTTTTAATATATATAAAATTTAAAATTTTCTTATAATAGAAAATAAAGAGTATAATTTTGTCACCTAATTAATATTTCCTCGTCTTTATTGTAAGATATAATTTAGAAGAAATTTTTTGTCTTACATCTTATAATTTTTAGAAAATATTAAATTTATTATTTGTTTGTTTGTTTTTATTAAAGATTGTGAGAATATATGTTTTTTTTCTCTTACTTCTTAAACTATCTCAAATTGACATTTTTTTTTTGGTTTTGGTCCATAAGTCTTGATGTGGGGTAATATGTTCACTTTTCATGAAAATTTAATGATAAGTAAAAATGATAAAATTGGTAAATCATGATTTTGTTTTATTTAATGATAAGTAAAAATGATAAAATTGGTAAATCATGATTTTGTTTTATAACCTTAATATAATTAATTAATATGACTATTTATATTTATATTGATAGGTGTGATTCAATTAAAAGTGTCTAATAACAAGGATTAAACGGAGTAATTTTCTTAAAAAAATTATATATTGTCTTAAGAGTTCATTTAGTTCAAAAAAAAAAAGAGAGAAAAGAAGAAGGGAAGCAAGGAGATGAGACGTAACTTTTAAAGGAGAGATTTTAAAAATCAATTTATTTTTATATCCTTATAATTTTAAATTTAATAATATAAATAAAATTATTTTTGGTATTATATAAAAAAAATTTTAAAATCTCTCCCATTTTCTCTGAATCTCCAATTAGAGAGAAATTAAAATTATGAAAAATTTTGCTTCTCTACTTCCCTCTCATCTTATAAAAATTAAACGAAACAAAAAGATACTTCAAAAAAATTTCTCTTCCCTTTCTTTATTTCTCTCTCACTAAACACTATGTAACACAAATAATGTGCGATGCTGAATTAATTTTTGGCATTAGTATGTGTAGTTTCAAATCAGATAATGATAATTGCTGAATTTAAGTGACTCCTTTTTGTTTTATTTATGCAGGTGTAATTAATACGTTCGGGAAATTCGTGTTTAAAAATGTCCAGCAGGTAATTTAAAATAATACTATGATTTTATTTATTTATTTATTTATTTATTTTGTTTTTGAGAGAAACAAATACCATGATCTAAGAATATAAATATCAAGACTCGTTTATTTAAGTCTAAGTTTCATAATAAATAAAAAATAGTGAACTCTCAAAAGATATGAACATTACATTTTTTTTTAATGTTAAAAATTACTGTCATTTTTTGACAAATTTCAATATATAACAATTTATCTATTTTTTTAAAATTTTTTTGATTAAATTCCATTACAAAAAAGTTATATCAAAATGATTTGCACTAACATTTTCTTAGAGATTTAAATTTTGTACTACCCTCTCTTATTGTGTTAAAGTATACACTTTCTTCCATTAACAAATATAAATATTAATAATATATAATTTTTCAATATTATTTAATTGATGTTGTTGATAAAATATTTTAAGAGATATTTAAACAAATCAGTGTTTTCTGATAAAATATTATTTATTATATTTAATAAATATAATTTTAAAATATGTATATTAGGCATGCATTATTTTTATAATATATTTATATTACAAATATATTATAAAATAGAATATAATTATTACAAAATTTAATTATTATATATATATATATA